AGATTGGGAACTTTCATCTGTTAACGTATCAATTATGTTCTTTATTTTAACAAAATGATCTGCATAAAAATTAGCTGCTTCTAACCATGTTCCCCATCGCGTTTAAAATAGGTTGTGGTGGAAGAGGAATGTTAGGTAGCATTTCTTTATAAAGTTGAATTCTTATAGGAGATTTAAGAAATACTTTTTTGACACTGGATATCATGGTATTTACAAGAGGAAACTTTTTTCGTATTTCCTCTGCAACTCTGTTTAATCCATGCGCTACACAAGTAACATGTATTAAATCTGGGAAAAATATTTTTAAATTTTGTCCTGCTTTCACCATATAAGGAGCAGCATCCGATAAAATAAGCAGTAATTTATTAGAAGGAATAGTTGTCGGAAGAAAAAAAGTTGCTAATGTTTCTTGTATAAAACGCGAAATTGTTAAAGCATTTGTTTTCTCAAGTTGCTGGCATGAAATAAGATGAGATTTTGGTAAGGTATCTTCTTTAAGAACACCAATCAATAAATGAGCAATATACTTTCCTGAGGAATCAGTGGTTTCGTCTACAGATATGTAAAAATAATTATCTGCAATTTCTTCCTTAATATTAATTAACACCGACGAGTATAGCCCGTTCACATTATTTCTTCTTAGAGACCGATCACTTGGAACATTAAGTTTGCAATATTTTTTTAGAAACGAACTAAAATTTACATTTGCTAATTTTGAAAGCGGTATGTTTGCAGACACTAATGCGCGACACAAGTCTTCATTAAAAGTTTCTTGCTCATCTAATTTTTTTGAAGTAGATTGGAAACATTTAGCCATTGAAGTTTGATGTTTTCCTCCTATTTTTCCTTTTTTTGCAATGTGTGAAGCAGTTCTCACATGTTGGTCTATCTGAAATTTCTTCTCACATGCTATCTATAAATAAAAATAAAAACCTTTATTTTAACCTAACTTTAAAATATAAAAATATACAAGGTGTTTTTGGTTAATCAAATAACTGGTTTGGAAAAAAAAACACTCGCTAAGTGTTTTAAATGCAGTATTAATCCACAAATTAGTTTTTGTTACTAACCATTAGTACATCATATAACTTATTTTAAAATTCAACAAAAGTTTTTTTTTTGTTAATTCAATTACAATAAAAATAATTGTGTTTTAGAATAGCTGACTTCATAAAAAAAGTAAAGGTGAAAAATTTTTCTAAATACACACCATTGTATTGTACCATGGACAATTTTTTCTCACTAAAGGAAGCTATTTTTCATTTAAAAACAACCTACGAGTACTAAATTTCAAGTAAATACGTTTATTGGTTTTAAAGTTATTGTTGTTATTAACTAAAAGAATTTAATTTTTTTTAATTTTAACACCCTGTATCTCGAAAAGTAAATAAGTTTGACCCCTCATTAACTATATCGTTTTGTTCAATTTTTCGAGAAGTATCTACAGTCAAACGTTGTAAGTGTCATTTGGAAACACCCTGTATGTATGAAATATTAGATATTTAATAGAAAATATTAGATACTTACAATTTTGCCACAGACTGAACAGTAGATTTTTCCCATATCCATAGACAGCTCTTTATAAGGTTTAATCCAAGTTGAAGCACTGGTTGTTTTAGGCATTATAAAATCACAATCTTCCTTTTTGTTACGCACAACGAGTGTTTACGCTTTGAATATCAAAACAAAAATGATTTACAAATCTGAGCATCAAATTAGAAATGTTTAGGTACCTAATTCAATAAACTGGGAGATTTTGGAAAATCCCTAAATTAGGAACAAAACTATTAGCCGTTTACCTGCTGTTAAGATACAATAAATTGTAGATAGATTTTGGGATTAGATCATAAAATGCAAATGAGCGAACCCTTAGCGATTATCCAATAACTGAATGCCTCAGTGACCGAGACTTTCTAAGAATGTTGAGGGCTACTTAAATTGATCTTCTTTGAAATTGTAAATGTTTTGTACCTGTAGAGATTACGTACTTAGATCATTTCTTGATTAAAATGACTACAAAATTTTATACAAGAATTGAAATAAATTGGTATGTTTAAAAATTTTCAAATACAGTATAAAAATCTGAACTTTTATGCACTTTATGCAAACTTTTATACAAATATGCCAAAATATGAAATATTTGCATAAAATATGCACAATATGCAAAATATGCAATATGCATATTTGCCGAAGTCTAGTCATGACTAAGTCGTGTATAGGAGATACGGAGACAAGTAAGTATCACTTGCTCTCTTCAGTCTTTTATTTTTGGTTTCCAAAGATGTGGATGTTTGTTGACTTCGTATAGCCTTGATAAAAAGTTGTTTCAAGTTTGTTGCCGAATTGTTTTGAATTATTTTTTGTTTTAAGTATGGTTTAAAATCGTTTTGTACCAATATGTTAGTTTCCTCCGACATCGGATTAGTGGGTGCGTTTTTAGCCAGTTCATCTACAACTTCGTTACCTTTAATTTTGATACGAGAAGGTACCCATACAGAGTGAACTTGGATGTTATTATTTGAAATGTCTTTAAGTTCTTTTTTATTAAGAAGTAGATGCGGGTTGTCACAGAACAATTAAGTCAGTGAGGATAATGAACTTAGAGAATCTGTGATTATTATACATTCCTCTTTGTTTTTGTTTTGTATTAACGATAGTGCTTTAAGAATTGCAAATAATTCAGCCGAAAATATGGTTGTAATTGACGATAATTTGAAACTAACTGCGGAGTCTTCCGAATAAAGTGCTGCTAAAAACTGTCTTCATTTTTTAACGCATCGGTGTATTCGTTGTAGGTATTCCCATATCTGTTTAATAGTGTATAAAACTTTTGTTTAATGATGATTGATGATATGTTTGATTTTCTTGGGACTTGTTAGACTGATGTCGATAACAGGAATATATATTGTCTACGGTGCAAGGTTGTAGATTGAAGAGGCATGATAGGTTTTTGGATATTGAAAACCTAATTTGGATAAGTATGATTGTAAACGAAAGTAAAAATGATGATCAATTTTATGTGTTTGTTAAGATTTATTTGTAAATCGATCAGCAAAAATGTTATGCAATACTGGATTATTTCGGTCTGATGACACTGCTGCTGTATATCTTAGGCTTAGATATTGTCTTCTGAAACAAAGAGGAAGGTCTCCACTTTCCCAATAGAGATTTTGAATGGCACTTGTGTAATGAGCACCTAAAGAAATACGTAGACGTCTATTTTGGATAATATCCAGTGACTTTAAATGTGTTTTTCTTGGAGGAGTTGTAGACGATGTAGACGATTTGTAAATAAGTATTACGCTTGACTAATCGGTACCCCAGCTTTTAAAGGCATGTTACCGTAATAAATTAATAAAAGGTATACAGTATTTTTTCATCTGTTAAATAAATTAATTTTTTTATCAAACGTCATACCCAAGAATCGGATTTCTTCTACATAATCTAGTTTTTGTTCGTGTAAATAATATAATTCCTTTGTTTGGATTTGATTTCTTTTTGAGAAACAGATTGGTTTCGTTTTTGAAGTTTGGTAAACTGAAGTCCACTTGTAGCTGACAATTTGTTAATGTGTGTTAACCCATTTTGAATGTGATTGTGAATCGTTTTGTTTTTTCCTCTACAGAAAATAACTAGGTCGTCTGCTTATAATATAGCTTTGACGGGGTTTTCAATGTGTGTTAATATGAAATTCATTGGTACTAAAATACCATATAAGCATACTGTTTATTATCCTTTCTAATACTTTCTAATATTTTCTATTTAGTCTTGGTTAATATAGTGTTCACGTGCTTTCATATTGTAAGCTGTCCAGGTGGTTCTTTTATTTTTTTTGGATCTAAACAAAAAAAAACTATATTAAACTTTACCATAAAGTGATCCGAATCACATGATACTCCTCTATATACTCTTATGTCCATTACTTGTAATGTTGTACTTTGTTTTGTAATCACGTAATATACATGGCATAATCATATTCCCAATCCGCATAGAATATGGGCTTAGGTCGATAAGTAATTAATTCTTGATGTCCATAAGGGCTTATTGTTCTGTTCAGAAAATCAAGTTCAGTAAGGCTAAGGTAATCAAAAATAACTTGCCTTTGTTATTTATAACCCCGCTACCCTAAATAGTATGGTGGACGTTGGAGTCGACTGCAATAATAATAAGTTCTGTTAATAATAACAGGTAATAATAACAGGCCCTTTTGTAATTTGTTTCATCTACATAGATTTCTCTTCTGCCTCCTGTGGTTTGAAAATAGTGATTGCAGGTTTTAGTTTCCAATGCTTACCGCATGTTTGGTTGGCTGTCTTTTAAGGAGATAATGCTAGCTCGCTGTAAAAGTTAATAAGGCTTCGACTAAAGCCTTATAAAGCTCTTTCTATGATTTAAAGGAAGATTTTAAAAAACTCTTGAGGCTTCTAATTATTTTTAAGATTTTTAATCTTAAGCTGAAACCTTCGGTTCATTAAGAGTTGATGATCTATTTGGTATGATGTCTGAAAGAACCTGAGCTTATTGATATTTCACACAATCTTACAACTGGGTGTTATAAGCATTTTGTCCAAAGTGCCAATCACTGTCCATCCACTTTGTTTTCCTTTATTCAATAAGTATTTCTGTTAGGTTTCATTGCAGTTCTGGATATTCACGGTTTACACTATTGTTGTTTTGTTGAAGAGATGTTACTTATACTTAATATTTTTATTCCAACGTCATGACATTTTTGTAACATTTGACAGAGAATAAAAACTAACGAATCGTCAAAATTAACGGTACAATCTCAATTATAGACGACAATTGATTTTAAATTATCCGAATTTAAGTTAATCTCTCTTATATATAACCAGGTATTCTAATTCAAATCTATTTGTTTTACGCTTTAAATAAATAATCTATTGTGTCGCATGCAAAAAATGACTTCTGTGAAAAGATTAAAATATAAACTAGTCAATTTATTGATTTATATTAAATAAATCATTTATTTTATGTTTAAGCTACTTTTGCTGGTAGTTAGCAGTGCCCCATGTTTTGCCGGTATAGCTGGTTATGGGGGTTACCCAGGAGGTGTCAGCTATGCAGCACCCCCTGTTCACGGATTGGGTCACGGAGGTCCGATACCTTTAGCTGTAGGCAATGGTCATGAAATTGATTATTACGTAGGTATTAAGAAATGCTTTTAATTTAAAACAAAGAACTAACAAACATTACTATTACTTTAAATAATATTGATAATTACTTAAAGTATGCAACCAACAATGTAGTTTTTATTCTGACTTCAGTTTTTTGTTTGAAGTTTGAATTCTTTGTTTGAAGTTGGCTTATAAATCATATTGTTAAATTGTAAATACTTGATCTGTGTTTTCTTGTTTATGTCTTAGTGCTTCTTCTTATGTTTTAGCGTGCTTAAAAATATTCTTTCTTTTCGCTGTGTCAGCTTCTTTTCTTCTCAATTTACCAATGTGTATGGCTTTTAGATTTTTCCTTATAATATCCATCAATCTTTACCCTTGAATTATTCCGCTTCTGCTATCTTAACCCGCTATTGCAGGAATTTATTTTATTTTATTTTTTGACAAAAGAAAATAAAATTATACTAAATTACTCTTAATAGATGTATGTAGAATTCACTGTTACACGTTTGTTTTTAAATAATCCAATTTTTAAGAAAAAAAAATGGCCATTTGGGAACATTATGTATAAAAACTTTTATTAGAAAACCTTTGGAATATTTTTATTACAAAACAAACCTCTTATATCTGAACTAAAATCCTTTCTGAACTAACAAAAACTCATGTATGTTTTTTAAATTTTCTTTTTTTTTAAGGCTCATCCAAAATATTCCTACAACTATGGTGTAGCAGATGGACTGACGGGTGATCAAAAATCCCAATCCGAGATTAGAGATGGCGGTGTCGTCAAGGGTTCCTACTCTGTTGTAGAGCCCGATGGTTCTGTTCGTGTAGTTGACTACTCAGCTGACGATGTCAATGGATTCAATGCTGTTGTGAAGAAAATAGGTCCTTCGCTTCATGCAGCACCCGCTCCAGTTGTTCCAGTTCCTCATGCTCCTGTATCGTACGATTATGGATATGCAGGTCATGGAGGTGCTTATCCTCATGGTCACTATTAAATATGTATTTTGTTTTGTTAATTTTAAAAATAAACGTTTATATAAATAATTCTAAATAATTTGTAAGCTTTTTTGAGACAGTAGAAAAAAAATTACTAAGTAGCTTGAGAGAATGATTCCAAATAACAAAAGATCTAAACATATTACATGTGGCACAATACAGAGAAATATAAATATGGCATAATGATCGTCAACCTTCTGTTAAAGGCGACACGTAAAGAAGAAGAATAAAAAAAATAGCTGTGTAGAATTGAAATATATTTTTATAAAACTTACAGTCAAATCATAACTACCGCAATAACTTCAGTTAAATATCTAAAGGAAATTAAATACTTTTTTTTCTGATCGATCGTTAAAACGAAAATTCTAAATTTTCTTCTTCTACTTCTCGTAGCACTACAACCCAAAGTGGGTTTTGGCTGACTACACAACTTGCTTTCATCTTTAACGGTCGTCTATAATATTTGAGTCAGTGGGTAGCCCCATTGTTCTTAGATCTGACCATATATTGTCTCTCCATCGCATTCGTGGACGCCCTAAGGGCTTTCTTCCTGTGGTTGCTTTCTCCCATATTAACTTGACAAGGCGATTATTAGGGAGTCTAGTGACATGGCCAGCCCATCTTAGACGTTGGAATTTAATCTCTTGGACTATGTCGCTCGCTATATATATATATATTATATATATATATATATATATATATATATATTATATATATATATATATATCTGCTTGACCTCAGCATTTGTTCTCATTCGGTATTGGTTACTATTAATATCGTGATAAGGCCCAAAGATTCTTCTGAGGATTTTCCTCTTAAAATATCCAAGGTTTCTTTCAGTTTCATTGGTTAGGTGCCACGTCTCACACTCATATATTTTAATTTTTGATGTTCGCGTTAGGCTTTTATATTTAATAGTATTGTGGAAGCTGTAATACATCTGTTTGCTGCCTGAATCCTTCCTTTAATCTCTTTCGCGATATTGTTGCTCCAAGATATTTCAAACTCTCTACTCTTTCAAAGTTATAGGGCCCAGGTTACCTCCAACCGTTCGTGGACACTGCTCATAGGCAATATAATGCTCTTTTAGCTCTACCATCTAAGTGTTACTTTAATGTTAACTACCTGTTAAGGGTAATACCAAGGTACTTCACCTCGTCAGAAAAATTTAGACTGTAGTTTAGAATCCTTGGGGGTATTAAGCACGTAATTCTTCTTTTTTCTGGTAAATATGACCATCTCTGTTTTCTTTATAGGGAGTGATTGTTTCTTGCTTCATGTTTCTATTATTCTAAAAGCAACTTGTAATCTTTCACATAGAGTATTCTCAAACTTACCGCTTTGCAGGACAGCAATATCGTCTGCATAGGCTATTGTGTAGCAACCGTTGCTGCTAAGTTGCTCAACCAGGGTATCTAGAATTGTGTTCAAGAGAAGTGGTGATAGCACCCCTCCCTGTGGACACCCCCTCGTAACCATACCTATAACAAAATCGTCTTCCACATTTAATCTTGCTCTATTAGAGAGCATACTTAATATCCATTCGCTTACGGCCAGGGAAACATTTCTGACGTTGAGCTGTTTCTTGATCTTTCAGATCATTCCACTATTTAATGCAGTTCAGAATCGGTAGATCTTCCGAGTATATGCATGTTTTATATGCAAGTATATGCATGCTGATTTGGGTGAAGTGGGTTATGGACCACTTTTGCATTCCTTATATACCTCTCGCATAGCCTTTCCATCGTTTTTAACAAAAAGGATGTTAGGCTAATTTATCGAAAAGACTTTGGTAGTATGTTGTCCATCCTACCTGGTTTTGGTATGAAGACCACATGTACCTCTATTTTGGTGGCTCATAGCATGTATACCTCGTAAGTATTAACCACATTTTGCTTTAATCTTACTCAACATTTTAAATTCAACGTTATTTTTAATTAAAGTGCTTATTTACTTTCAGGTTTACACTGATGATGGATTTAACAATCCGAAAACGTTTTGTAATTTAATTCTGATAGCCCGTTTGGGCATTTTATTATATACCTTTTATAAAGGATTTGAAATAAATGTTTTACACGTACCTCTCTCGACTTCCTAGGAATATAGGAAGAATATATTCTCAGAGCCAAAGAGGCTCTGAATATTTCCACGAGGTGCGGCAAAAGAATATCAAGTCCCCACCGTAGCAGGGCGGGATATATGCCGTCAGGCCCTAATGATTTGAAAGGGATGAAGCACAATATGGTCCGTTTTACCTCTTTCTCATTATTTACTATTCTGGCGAGATGCCAGTCGCTTATTGAGGCTTCCATCCAGTTTGGTGCTGTCGAGACAATAGAACCGGGAAAGTGTGTTTTCATTAGGACCTCAGCACTTTGACAAAGGTTGGAAGTTTTATTTTCATCTTCCTTCGTTAATATGCCGATATGCCGATGCGGGGCCTTTGATAGCGCTTTTTGTAGCCTGGGAGCTTGCGGAAAATCTTCGATTTCCACACAGAAGGTTCCCCAAACAGCTCTTTATCTTTGGCTGCAGACTTTTTTAAACTCTCTGAAATTAGATTGATAAGAATTCCAATTCTCTTTAAGTTTGTTGCGTTTGGCTCTATTAAAAGCTGTTCTTGCTATCTTTCCAATTTAGTGCACCACCAAGAGTTGGTCTTCCAACTTTCCTGGACCATGCTTATTGGAAAGGATGTTTTATAAGCATGCCTTATTTTATTAAGTAAGCTATAACGACAAGTATAATAACCATGACAGAAATAATGTCGGCTACTACAATCGCCTCCATGGAGAACATATTTGAGCTTTCAAAAAAATAGGCATTATTATTTCGCATTAATATGCATTTCTTTACTTTGTAAAGTATTTTGATATAAAGTGTTAAAATGATATACTTAAAGTAATTAAATTATTATTAATGTTCTAGATTATACTCCTAAAAGGCAAACACAACAATATATATATATATATATATATATATATATATTTATATATATATATATATATATATATATATATATATATTTATATATATATATATATATATATATATATATATATATATATATAGGTTTTAAAACGTTCTCCTACGTCTTCCGATGCCTAGTCGTCATTCACTTCGGTCCATCCAAAAGTCTTCCTCTAATTCTCTTTCTCTCATACTTCGATTTATGCCTTCTCTCCAACTAAGGCGGGGTCTTCCTCTTTTTCGTCTACCATGAGGGGTCCACGTTAGGATTTGTTTCGGGAGTCGTTCTTCGGACATTCTTTGTACGTCTCCATACCATTTAAGCTGTTTGGTACTAATATCATCTACTATTATGTGTTTCACATTCATTATTTCCCTAATTCTGTTGTTGGTTACCCTTTCTAATCTTGATTTTTCTGCTGAGCGCCTCCAGAAATTTATTTCTGTTGCTTCAAGGTTTATCTTGTATCTTTCTTTTATTTGTCATACTTCACTGCTGTAAGTGATTATACTCTTAACAATTGTATTGTATATTCTATGTTTGTTGTTGTTTGATATTGCCTGATCCCACAGTATGCTATTGAGAAGGGTAATTGCTTTTCTTCCCTGGTTGTTTCTTTCTTCTATCGTCCGGTCTACGTTTCCTTCTTGTGTGATGGTCATAACCAGGTATTTATATGCGTCGCAATGTCTAATAATTTCGCCATTCCCCAGTGTAAGGTCCTGCTGTGTCCCACCGATACACATATATTCGGTCTTATTTATGTTTATTTCCAAACCACCTTTTTTGTACTCCTTTATTAATTTCCTTGTCATATATTCTATATCATCGTAGTCTTGCGCTAGTACAAGTTGGTCGTCTGCAAATGACAAAGTGTATATTGTATTGTTGTTGATCAATAATCCCATGTTTTTGCATTTGCGTTTCCAAAGTTTTAGAGTTTGCTCGAGGTAGATCTTAAATAATGTCAGTGAAAGGCAACACTCTTGTTTTAGGCCTTTGCTAATTTGGAATCCTCTTGATAGTCCGCTTCCAACTTTCACCCTTGCTGCAGTTTTGGTATACAATTGTTTCGTCGCTGTTATTAAATTTGCGCTTATATTGGTTTTCTCTAATGCTTCCCATAGTTTGTTTTGTGGGATGCTATCATATGCTTTTCTCAAGTCCACATATAACAGGTGCACCTCCTGGTTGACGGCCAGTTTCTTCTCAATAATCTGTGTAATACAAAACAGATGGTCTACCGTTGATCTCCCTGCCCGGAATTCTGCCTGTTCTTCAGCTTCTATATCTTTATATTCGTTTTCGATTTTATTTTTAATCAGTTTTCCGTATATTCGGCTGATCGAGTTCGTTACAGCGATGCCTCTGTAGTTGTCACATTGATCCCGTCTGCCTTTTTTATGTATGGTGGATATCCATGATGTCTTCCATTCTTCTGGGATTTCTGCTCCGTTGATGTATCTTTGAAAGAGTTTAGCCAGGTTTTCATATAATTTTGTTGTGCCATATTTTATTAGTTCAGCTGGTATGTTCCCTGGTCCTGGTGCTTTGTTATTTTTTAAAGACTTACATACTTCTTCTACTTCTTTTGTTGTTATTCGTAATGGTGAGGCTAAGACATTTACGTTGCTGGTATCATTGTTATTTAAAAATTCCCCTCTGTCCTCATTTAGGAGTTTTTTAAAATATTTGTCCCATTGATCCGGTGTAATTGATGATATTATATCTCTTTTCTTTTCCTGTCGTAGCGATTTTAATACTTTCCAACTTTCTGTACTTCTCCGTCCTCCTAAATGTGTGTTAATCATGTTACACTTTTGCTCCCAAGCCTCATTCTCTTGGGTCCTCTTGTATTCTACCTTATCAGCGTCGGTCCTTGTGTTCAGAAATTTTTTATACTTCTCTCTTTTATTTTTAATCTCTTGTTCTATTTCTTCGTCCCACCAATACGAAGTTTTTCTGTGGTTTTTTACTTGGAGTCCGAGAGCCTCTGTTGCTGCTTCCTGAAGAGATGTTTTTATATAATGATAATGCTCTTTATTGCTGGTACATTGCATGGTTTCTAACGTT